CTCACACTCTTGTTTTGGGTGGAGACCTCGGGAGAGGGACAATTAGAGGGAATGGCAGACTTGGACAATAGTGATGTTCAGTAAGGCATGTATTCCTAAAACCCCAAAGCAGCAACAGGTCCCAGCATGCCAAGTACGGGCAGGAGGCAGAAGTGGCAGGGGGGTGGCGTGGAAAATGGCTCTCCCCTAGAACGGGAACCTAAGCAAGGGATACCCACGGCTGGCCTGGAGTTTAACCTTACACTGGGCACCTTTCCCCTCCCCACTGCCATGGGGCTGGGTAACCATTCTACTTCAGCACTCAGGAGCTTGAGCAACTAATGGCCATTGATATCCCACTGCTGGCCACTTGTAGCCAACATCGTACATGTGTCTGCACAAATACACGTGTACACACACATATCAAAGGGCATCCAGGCAATGAACAACATGCCCAGGTCCTTGCCCAATTTGCTAGTTGTTGAGTTGGTGTCTCATGTAGCTCAGGTTGGGCTCAACCAGGCTAGGTTCCCGAGAGTGACCTTGAACTTCTAATCCTACTGCCTCTACTGCCAGAGTACTGGGATAACAGGCACAGATCACCTAGCCAGTGTATGTGGTACTAGAGATGGAACTCTGGGCTTTAATGCATGCCAAGCAAGCACTCTACCAACTAAGTTAAAGTCCCATTCCCTACCGTTTGCATGTTTGGGTGTTGGTGGTTATCTCCCTAAGTAGCATAGACTGACCTCAAACTCACAATCCTGCTTCCATAGCCTCCAGAGAGCTTGGGATCCAGCTGTGCACCACCCCATTCAGCTGGCCTATTTTCACCCCTCATCCCTTAAGTGACGATAAGCAAGCAACTTCCCCCATTTGGGCCCCAGCTTCCTAAGACACACCATGGAGAGGACCAAGCTGGTTATCTTCTAGCTCAGAGGTCTAGGACGGAGTGATGAAATATTCACATTGATGGGATTCCAAAAACTACACAAGCACCCCCTCATCTCTGAGGTTGTTGCCTGCCATAATATTCCATTCCCTTTTGCTGCCAGTTGCCTGCTTTATGCCCTTTGTCTCACCTTTTTAACTTTGGCTTTTATAGCTGGGCGGTGATTGGCCCTCTCCTTTAATCCCAGCACTCAAGAGGCAGAGGCAGAGGATCTCTGTGAGTTCGAAATCAGCCTGGTCTACAAGAGCTAGTTCCAGGACAGGCTCCAAAGCCACAGAGAAACTCAGTCTCCAAAAACAAAAACAAACAAAAAAAGCAACCTTGGTTGTTTACAACAGTCAGATTTAACTTTTAAAAAGGGGGTAGGTGGGCATATGGTAGGATTGCCTCCTAAAAATACTCTGTCTGCTTTGCAGTCCAAGACCAAGAAAAACATCCCAAAGTCATCTGTTAGGAAGAATGGCATGGTAGACTCACTTGACTGTGATGAGATTTAGGCGGGGAAAGGGACCAGAGCAACAACCTTTGAGTATTTTTAGATTAAGGTTTAGGGTTCTTCCAGAGAAGGGTATCTGTGATTCACTTGGAGTACAGGAAGGAAGGAATTTAAGGTTGGGTGAAGGTTTGAGGAGAAGAAGCCAGCAAACCCTCATTCCAACCATACTGTCCACACCTTTAATGTCCGTGGGTAACCTAATCTCTTCAATACTTCTAGGTCCTATGCCCAGGCCTTTGGAGCAGATCTAATGGGTATCAGTTTTGCTGCTTCTGAACTATTCCACAGTCTGGGGATATGGGGCAATGGTAAATCACTTGCCTAGCATGCTTGAGACTGGAAAAATTACAACTTCCAGAAAATATTTGTTTCCACTTTATCGCCCCTTGTAGCTTCTAATATAGCTCTGAAAACATCCAAATCATCACTTGTAAAAATGATTGTGTGGATTTCAATTCTCCCAAGTTGCATGGTATTTCAGAGCAACTGCTTCCACCCAAACAATATGACCTAGACCTCCCAGAATCCCTCACTTTACCACCACTAGTAGAATTCACTTCCCCCCGTCACTAGCTGTTCCCTAGCTGAGTATCTCTCTACAGCACAGAATGAGATGCCAAACTGTTAGCTTTTGTTTATAGCCATACAAGGGATCACCTACCCTGATCCCACTCCTGTGATTTCCAGGCCCTCGGGTAACTTCTTCTACATCATGACCTCCCACATCTGTAGTGGAGAAGGTAGACTCTCATTTCCCTTCCCCCTCTAAAAAACTCCTATCGTCCAGGAGCCCTTTTCCAGCCACACACCACACCCTCACTCCCTTGCTCTCTGCCTGGCCATCTCCTTATCCCGAGTTTCCCATAAATGCTCGCCGCCCCCCGGTCTTCCCTATTAGGCCTGCCAAGACACATGGCTATTTTTACCCCATTCTTTTCCCAGACCGTGGACCTCTGCAGACCCAGGAAGAGAGCACGCTGCTTCCCTCCAACCCCCAACCCCTTCACCCCCACTTGGCACATCTGTGGGGCAGCGCAAGGAAGCTCTGTAAGCCTGAGCCCTGCCCCGTGCACCGTAAGTCAGTCCTTACCTCCGAGCTTGTCCCAGGGTCAGGGACTACGCTCTTAGTTATTCCCCCTGTGGGTTGGGGGGCTTGACTTAAGCGAGTCTTTCTTTCTTTCTTTTTTTTTTTTTTTGAGACAGGGTTTCTCTGTGGCTTTGGAGGCTGTCCTGGAACTAGCTCTTGTAGACCAGGCTGGCCTCGAACTCACAGAGATCCGCCTGCCTCTGCCTCCCAAGTGCTGGGATTAAAGGCGTGCGCCACCAATGCCTGGCGAGTCTTTCTTTCTTTTCAGATTGTGTGTGTGTGGAGGGGGGTTGCCTGTGTACACGACTGTGCTCCACATGGGTGCAGTGTACCTGCAGAGACAGAAGAGGGTGTCGGACCCCTCTGGAGCTGGAGTCAGATTGCTGTTGGCCATCATTTGGTTCCCTGGAAACTTGGTTCCCTGGAAGAGCAGCCAGGGCTGTTTACGACTCAGCCATCTTTCCAGCCTCAAGCCACTCTACCTCACCCACTGGCTTGGTTCACATGTACTCAAAGTCATCTAGTGAGTGTCCCCCCACCCCACTATTCAGATAGCGACGCCTGCCAAATGGAAGGAACAGCCCAAAGGGCACTGATCTCAGCAGAGATGTCCCCCATCCACCCAATACCAGTCATTTCTCTCAGCACAGGAAGGTTTTCCTACAGGCTGAAAATGTCCCCAAGTTGCACAACCTGGGACATTTAAAATAAGAAAGTCACTTATCCAAGTTCTTTGTGATAAGCCCAGGTTCTGAAGGAGAAAGCTACTTACTGTCTCAGACTGGATGTCACCTGTAAAGGACACACAAGTCCCCAAAACAACTCACAGGGCCCCAAGTCCCAAACTGCTACTAAACAGTTAGATTGCATGGGAAGCAAAAACTTTCTCCTAACAAACGGGTACTATAAGTGGGAGAAGCAAAGCGTTTTTGGTTTTAGACAAGGTTGTGTCATATGTCCCAGGCTGTCTTGGCCTCTGGAAATGATGGAGTCACGGGTATGCATCAGCAAGGCAAAACTTTGAAAAAAAAAAAAAAGAGCCTCTTGAAAGAGTCCCTCAGCAGTATGTAGAGGCAGGAGCTGGGAGCAGTCCTGTTTCTGCCTAATCCTACCCCAAAGTCCCAGAGCATATAGTAGGTTCCGTTCAACTCCAGACACTGGCTCCCATCTGCATCGCTCTTGGGCACCCTTAGGGAAATCATGCTAAGGACCTCATCTCACACCATGTGGTTACTTTAAAGCACCATCATCGAGCAAAGCTCAAAAGCAGTTAGTGACTACAGCTCCCTGATACAGTTTCTTGAAGGTGGGGCATGTGGGAAACTTAAGTCTTCCTTTTTCTTTCCATTCCCCTCGGGAGTATAAACTAACCCCCACAGCCCTCAGTCTAGGAGTGGGAGCATCAACCAGGCCCAACAAGGAGGCAGGGCTCAGCACATTTCCGTCTAGGGAAAGAACACCAATTCCTCACTCAGCTCATACTTAACTCTAAGTGGGGTCAGGGATGGGATGCGCAGGGGGCTGAATCAGCATTGAGACTGCCAGTTGCTTTAAGGGTGAAGATACAAAAGCTACATTTGTATCCAGGCAGGAGGAACTCAGAAAGGTGCAAAGAAAGCAAAGGATGGCGCCTGAGTGTGCCAGCCTCCACCCGCTAGCACCTTCACGGCTCAGGACACCGCCCCCGCAGTTATGCAGGGGAGGGGGGGTTGATTCACCGCGCCCAGACCGCCACCTTCACCAGCCCCACTTGCTCTCCTAACGCCCACCCCTACCCGCCCCACCCGCTCCCAGTAGAAGCTAAGGGCACCCGCACACCACGAGACACGGTGTCCCAAAGGACCTGAAAGTGCCTTGAGGCCAGGGACAGATGGCAGGCAGCAAGGGGACGCGCGTGGGCAGCCGAGGCTGGTGCGGGGGTGCGGGGTAGGGTGAGGGGGGCTGACGGTCGTGTCCCTTGCACGGCGCCCCCGCCGGTGCGTGCCTGAGCCCTGAATCACTCGCTATATCGGGCTCGTAGCACCGGAGGCCCCAGGCCCGGGCCCCACAGTCAGTGTCTGCTTACAGGGGGTCCCTAAAAGACCACCAGGGACCTCGGGTATTATCCCCACAAAACTTCCTTCAAGTGGGAAGACATTTGACAGAGACAAGCTGGGAGCATTCAGCGTTCCCAAGTCCAGCCTCTTCCCCCCGCCCCCCGCGCTAACTTTTCGACTAGGAGGTACACACCGCAGGGAGGGGCCTGGGCTCCAGGGAGGCACGAATGAGTCCCTTAGTGAGCCCCTCACTGCGCCCCAAGAATCCTCCACCCCAGGCACCCCACTCCAGCTGGGTTTGCAGGAAGGAGGGAGGAGTTCCTGACCGCTCCCACCGGACCAGGTTGACGGAGAGACGAACTTCAACTGGGTGTCCCTCACCCAGATCTCAGGGCCGGAGCTGCGGGTAGGATGGCCCCCACTCTGGACGTAGTCTGCCCACGGGCTCACCTGGTAGATCATGACTTTAAAGTTGCGGCGCCGCAGCAGCTCCGCCTCGTTGACCTCCAGCTTCTTTATCTGGCCCGCCTGGCGCTCCAGGCTGCCGCGCACCGTCTTCACGTTGACGCTGACCTTGCGCACCTTCTCCAGCAACTTGCTCACTGTGTTGCTCGTGGTGGCGTGCGCCTTGCCTAGCTTGCTCAGCTCTCCCTGGATGCTCTGCACGGCACCCTCCATCTCCGCCTGTCGCTCCTCCAGCTGGGCTTGGGTCAGCTGGATCTGGTCAACGGCGCCGATGATTTTATCCAGGAGGCTCAGCACTAGGACACCGTTTACCTGGTCCGACTTGATAAGCTCGTCAGAGCCGGTCCCCGACGGCTCCTCAGTGGCCGGTGCCTCCCCTGGGGTCGGCTCCGGGCCTTCGGAAGAGGCATCTGCATATCCGGAATACGGTCGCTCGACGATATGGAGCGTGACATCCTCCATGGCTTCCCGGAGCCGTGCGGGGCCGGCCGGGTGGAACTGGAGCGGGAGACCGGGAGAGAAGGAGGAGCGAGACAGGGGAAAGCGAGCAGGAGCCCAGAGCCGAGGAAACTCGAGCCACGTCCGTGCGCACCAGGACCCTGGCCAGAATTGTGGGGCGGGGAATCCGCGAGCTGCCCGACTCCCAGGCCAAACCCGGAGTCTGGTCGGCCATTGGCTGGCCCCACCCCAGAATGGGAGGAACCGGGGCAGAAGGGGAGACTAACCCGGGAGGGGAAGGAGAGGGACCCGAGAGCCAAACGCCCCACCCTGTCCAGGATGGTTGGAATAGTTGGAGCGGGAGTCTAGGGCCCCCTTGGCAGTGGAGGCTGCTGCAGCGGGACTGGGGCGGAGGAATGCGAGCTGAGGGAAGGAGTCAGGTCCTCCGAGTGTGCTCTACTTTTTCTCTCTTTTAGTTAGGTTTTTTTCCATCCACAAACCCACTCCAGCCTTTTAAGATTAGTACAGATGGAGCGTGATTAGGTGTAAGCAAACATTTTTGTCTATGCCCAGTGCCCTTGTAGAATTCTTATCCTATACAACTTTTTCAAAGGGATCTGAGGGTCCGCCCCACCACCTATACACCGAGCTACCACTGTCCCCAAAGCTCGTGGCCCTGTTAGTGAAGAGGAAGGGAGAATGAAGTCGGCCTACTAAGGGCCTCTAGGTTTCTCTTAGAATTGTCAGAACAGGGCAGGATTAAGGTGAGAAATAAAACATAGTGAAGGCTTTTAGTCATCTCTCTAAGAATGACCTCTCCCTGTGGACCCTCCAGCAGAAATCTAGCTGACTCTGACCTCAGAGAGTGAGTGTGGCATCAGACTTGTTCTTTCCTCGGGTTCCCAGAAAGATTAGGTGAGTATTCAAGGAGGTCATGGAACCCCAACCCCTTATCTAGCAGAGAAAGGAAGGCCAAGGAAGGCAGGTGGCTCGCCAGGGTTCATTCCAGGTTACTGTTAGCATTTGCTCTTAGCCCCAAGTCTCTGGACTCCAGTACGCAGAATCTTTCGTTGGGGCAGAAAAGGGACAACTATGGCGATATTCCCTAATGGGGAAACAAGCAGTCGTCTTCCTAGTGGGCACCAAGGCGTACTGAGCAGGCACAGAAGATTCCTTAGCACAGAGGTCTAGAAACACAAGCTGCCCTGCTCCCACATCTGGCTCCCACATCTGGCTCCCACATCTGGCGCTCAGCAATCCCTGGAGCCACCATAATTCCCTTTCCCACAGAGATTCTGAAAACCTTTTCCCTGCTTAGGAAATCAGGCTTGGGGTTCCCCGGCTGAGGCTCGGCAAAAGGTCACTTCTAGTCTGTTACCCACTATCATTAAGAGTGGGGACTCACCGGGCGGTGGTGGCACACGCCTTTAATCCCAGCACTCGGGAGGCAGAGGCAGGCGGATCTCTATGAGTTCGAGGCCGGACTGGACTGACAGCCTCCAAAACAATACAGAGAAACCCTGTCTCGTAAAACCAAAAAAAAAAAAAAGAGTGGGGACTCAAGTGTCAGCAATCCAGTCAGAAATCCAGTCAGAGAATTGCCAACCTGTGGAGCAGGAGATTGCCGTGTAGAATACAGAACTTTAGGGACCACAGAGTACAGCATTCCAATCGGTTTCCTCAGAGACAAGTGGCTTTCTCACTTTAAAGAGTGACCCTCAGCCGGCTGTGGCGGCACACACCTTTAACCCCAGCACTCAGGAGGCAGAGGTAAGCAGATCTCTGTGAGTTCAAGGCCAAGCTGGTCTACAAAGCAAGTTCCAAGAGAGCTAGGGCTACACAGAGAAACCCTGTCTCTAAAAAACAGAACAAACAAATTGATACAGCTTTGAGAAAAAAAGAGTGACAGAAGAAAGTCTTACTGGACCTTAAACTACTCCTATGCCTGTCCTTCCAGAGTGCGGGTACACTGAAGAGTTGGCTCTTGGGTTAAGAGCAGTGTTGCTGTTGCAGAAGACCAGGTTCGGTTCCCAGCATCCACATGGTGGCTCATGACCATTCGTAACTCCAGTTCCAGGGGGTCTGATGCCCTCTTCTGACCAGCCCTAGACAAACAAATAGTATACATACATACATGCAAGGAAGACACTTAATAAATGAAGACATCTTTTTAAAAATATTTATTTATTTATTTGTTATGTACACAGTATTGTGTCTGCATGTATCCCTGCAGGTGAGAAGAGGGTATTAGATCTCATTACAGATAGTTGTGAGCCACCATGTAGTTGCTGGGAATTGAACTCAGGACCTCTGGAAGAGCAGCCAGTGCTCTTAACCTCTGAGCCATCTCTCCAACCCGAAGACATCTTTTAAAAATTAAAAGAATTAGTTGCATACTCTGTGTGTGTGTGTGTGTGTGTGTGTGTGCGCGCACACGTGTGTAGGCACTCATGTGCACAGGTCAGAGGACAACTCTTAGGAGTCAGTTCTCTCTTTCTACTGTGAGTATTTAGAATCAAACTCAGATCATCAGGCTTGGTGGAAAGCAGTTTTACCTATCGCTCCATCTCAGCAGCATCCCCTAAGTACATTATGTAGCAGGCAAGGTACAGAATGAAAATAGCACAAAAAGTAATACAGGCTGGGTGTTAGTGGTGCACACCTTTAATCACAGTGCTCTGGAGGCAGAGGCAGGATCTCTGTGAGTTCGAGGTCAGTCTGCTCTACAGAGCGAGTGCCAGGATAGGCTTCAAAGCAATACAGAGAAACCCTGTCTCAAAAAACCGTAATACTGTGTGGAAGGAAGCCATTTGTTTTGTTTGTTGTTTTCTTTTGGATTATAGGCTTGCACCAACATGCCCAGCTATTCTTGTTCCTTGAGTCAGGGTCTTGCTAGCTCCAGCTGGCCTCACACTCACGGTCTCCTGGTGATTCTCCTGCCTCAGCCTGCAGAGCACTGGGATTATAGATAGACTCCACCATGCCCAGCTGAGGAAATTGTACTTCCTTTCCTATCCCAGCAATTAGTTTTTCTCCCTCCCAAGAAACCGTTGTTAGTATTTCCCTGCAGAATTTTCTATAGCATTTCTTTCCCTTTTTTTTTTTTCTTTGATAGGGTTTCTCTGTGTAGGCCTGGCTGTCCTGGAAATCACTCTGTAGACCAGGTTGGCCTTGAACTCCCAGAGATCGCCTGTCTCTACCTCCCAAGTGCTGGGATCAAAGGCATGGCAACCACCACCAGGCATATTTCTATACACATAAGTTAGATGTAATCATATATACCTGTAATCCCAGCTCTTGAGAGGCCGAAGCGAGATGATTATGAGTTGGAGGCCAACCTGGGCTACAATAGCAAGACCCTATTTTTCTTTCTTTTAAAAAAAAATTTTTATGTGCATTGGTGTTTTGTCTGAGTGTATGTCTGTGTGAGGGTGTTGGATTCCTGGAACTGGAGTTACAAACAGTTGTGAGCTGCCCTGTGGATGCTGAGAATTAAACCCAGGTCCTCTAGTAAAAGCAGCCAGTACTCTTAACCGCTGAGCCTCTCTCCAGGCCCCCTATTTTTCTTTTAAAAAGAAAAAAAGGTGGGTATGGTGACATACACTTTTAATCCCAGCACTTGAGAGGCAGAGGCAGGGAGATCTCTATAAAATTGAAGCTATTCTAGTCTACATAGGAGAGTTCCAAGCCAGCCAGTACTGCCCTGTTTCAAAAGAAAAAAGAAAGAAAGACATTTTGTGCACATAGAATCATATTATATATACACATACATAGTCCTTTTTTATTTTTTGAGTTGTTAATATTTAAGATTCTTTCCCACACAAAATTGCTTTATTTTCCCATGTATGCATGCACTATAACATATTCAACCAGTTCCTTATCAGTGGACATTTACAAATGACGTATTAAAGAGGAACATCTATGGATGATTCGTTTTTTGTGGCTACATGCTTGCTAAAGCAATCATTAAGTCAATGCCATTACGGCTTTCCCTGCAGGAAAGTCTTTGCAGTCCACTTCTTCAAAAGGAATGTGGATGAGTCAGGTTATGTCGCAGAGGGTAGCCCCATGAATACAGATCTGACTCATTTGATGCCTCCCTCCCTCCCAAAGAATTTTTGCAAAAGGGTCCTACCCCTGCACAGCTATGTTGCAAAAATATCCACATCAGCTAGCTTTTCTCTGGGGGAGGGGTGGGAGGTGGGGTGTCTTATTAAATGCCAGCTAGTTCCGACAGAGGGTGTGTTGAGCTCTATGGATGCTTTACCAGCCCTGACACAGACCTGGAGCCCAGCAGTCCTTTCCAGAAACTTCACTCCATTTCAGTGGAAATCAGCAGTCTCTTTTCCTTTGTAATTGCACTCCACACGCCATTGCCACCTTTCAGGTTTATCTTGGAGTTTGCCATTGCTCTGTCTGCTCGTTGAAATGTGTGCTGTTCTGTGGTGTGCTTTGGTTGCCGAGAATAGTGAGGTCAAAACAAAAGTTTCCTTTGGTGCAGGAAAGACACACACACACACACACACACACACACACACACAGAGAGAGAGAGAGACAGAGAGACAGAGAGACAGACAGAGAGACAGAGAGACAGAGAGAGAGACTTGTCAGCATCTAGACTTTCCCAGTGCTCTACCATACCTCCAACCATGCATCTGATTAATAAAGGGCAAGAATTCACCATGGGCCAGCTTCTGGGGAGAGTGGGAGAGGGCTTCCAGGATAGAGGACCGCCTGTAAAAGGAAGGGACCTTCACAACCCTGGAGACAGCATAAGTTATGAAAGTGGATGGTAAAAATAGCCAAGTACTGTCCATCTCATCATTTCTGTCCTTAGTTTTACTAGTTTACATTTAAGGAAATACAACAAAAGGTGTAAAATCTGTTCCGCTCAGCTTTGGATCCCAGCTGGGGCAGATCCCAGGGAGACAGTGTGTTTTGTGAACAATGAACAGTTGGGATGGATGATGTGTCCTTACATCAGAGAAACCAAGGCCAGCCCCTCAGCAGCTGGCTCACAGCTGCCACAAACAGCAGGCAACCCCACACCAGCTCTAAACTGTTTTGTTTCTCTGACGTATATAAAAGGGCTTTAGGCTGTTTGTATGTTTCTCCTCCTCAAAAATTCCTTGTCTCTTTAAAAAAAAATCAATATGTTGGCAGCTAGGGGTAGTGACACATGTAATCAGCATTGG